TATATCTTGGTTCCAACGTTAAATTAATTCCGCTAGCTTGCAGTGCCTCTTCATCAGAGACTTATTCCGAGGCCCACCAAGCGATTTATGAAACGGTGGTCATTGTTTTGCAGTCATCAGCGACATATTTTCAAATTCTTTGAAATCCATTTGTCAATATTATAAACAGAATGCAATTTGTCCTGAACATGTCTACACAATTTTGTGACTTAAAAGTAAATAATATTATTCTTCAGAAGGTGATCAAATAATTCAACAAACTCCTGTGTTGACATTGCATTCCTTACACTTTATTTTTATATTGTTCAACATCTCTCATAGAGCTTTTGAATCTAGCAATCGGTACCGTGGGAATGATGTTTAGAACTCGAACTCAAGTGCTACAAGTTACGCTGCATATTTAGTAATTTATTGTTTACCACATCAATTATTTTATTCTGCACTTATTGTAATATAGTTTCCGTTATACAGTATCCATTATTATCCTTCATTCGTCTTTTCCTGTAATGAATTTGAAAAGTAACTCTTGTAATATAAATTGCGAAACCAATTAAAGGGATTTATTAATGACCATATATTCCAATTATTCAACATTACAGACATCATATGCAACTAACTAAAGCAAATAATTAAGAAAATTTATTTCAATAATTAGTATTTAAAGCAGCAACTATTTAAAATTAAAAACGACAAAACCAAATAACAAAAAAACTGAAATTTATCATCAAATTCAATAGCTTTTCATTAGTTTTATTTATTTTGTTTAATGTATGGAAACTACAACATGAGAGCAAAAAAAGAAAAAAAAAAAGAAAAAAAAACAAGTACGATATATTTATAAAAACAAAAATCTAAATTGAAAATATTTAAATTTAGCAATGACATCAATTGATAATTTTGCATATAAACTCGCACAGGCAATAACCAGAACGCGCCATATTTATGTATTTATGAGAGCACGTCATACTTATGAACAGATATTTACCCATAGCACCACCACGGCTACTACTACTATTACGACTATATTAGTTACGAAAGTATCTGTTTTGCTTTACAGTTTTCAATTAATTCAATTTTTGGCACTATTATGATAATGTAAACGGAATGTAAAAGTAAACAAATAATCGAATTTATGCAGACTTTTTGCCTACGGTTTCACGTTACAATAACAACAGCAAATATAGCAAATAACAAACAAAACAACACCAATTCTGTGGCGAATATCTTGACCGTATATTCAGTGGCGCCTACGCTCATCTCAAAATAAACAACAAACAGCCAACAAACAAAACGTAGAGAAAGTCATAGCAACTGCTATAGCGAGAGAATATCGTAAATTGTGATAATATTCATGGCTTCATACATATATCAAATATGTATTTAAGTTGAATATTTTTTTTTTCTTCTCTGAAAAATCATGAACTTGGAAAGTCAAATTTGTGTTCCTATGCCAAAAAATTCAATTTCTCCTTTGATTACATGTGCAAATACACGCTCAAAGCAATTGTACGTCTAACAAGCATTTGATGATTTGTTTCAAAAGCTATCACTCATTGCTATAATAAATCAAAAGTTTGCAAGTTTTTCAAAAAAGATGACATCAAAAATTTTTAAGCTCTTGTTAAATTTTCTGTTAAGGTATCTTGTGCTCAAGTATGTCGTTAAGACTAGAAAGTCGACGAGTCGCTTTTTATTCGTTTTTTTTTTTTATTCATTTTATTTGCCATTCAACATATGCGTATCATAAGACTTATAAAAGCTTACATAGCATAGAAATATGAAGGAAAATCCGAATGGATAGTACAATCCTCCCCATAACTGTCTTTTGTTTTGCCTATTGAAATTTTGAATATCTAGAATAGCGTAATTTTTGTGCTTATTTGTGGCATATGATGTCTACAGCGACAGTGGTTTGAGTTATTTCGGCAAAGTCGATCATCTCAGTTAAAATGACGCAAAAAGTCGCTACTTTTTTTTATCAAAAAATCGCAATTGCAGTGACATTGGCTTTGGATCCCGAAGCTTTTGTGTCACATTAACAGTAGGTTTGGTAGCGTCGCTATATTTTCGCTTGTTTATTTGATCACAGAAAAGAGGATAAATATATATAGTGCTCGCATTGTAAACAATGGAAAAGAAACAAAAAGTTCTTAAAGAAATGTTACATTACGAAGTGAAATTTACAGAGAGTGAAGAGAGTAGGAGACTGGCATGTTACTAGTGCTTTAAATTGTCAATCATTTTTCTTCATATTTTAATTTTTCCCCAAAGTCCTCACTACACCCACCACTGTAAAAAGGCGGTATACTCATTTTGTTTTGTTTCCCGAAATATATGTAAAACCTAAAAGGAAGCTTCAGAGACCCTAAAAAGTATACATACTCTTGATCAGCGTGAAATTCTGGGTGGATTTAGCCATGTTCGCCCATCTGTGTATCTGTGTGGTGTGTTGTTGGCACTCTCCTTGTCGCAAAAATGAAGATGTCCACTTCAAATTTAGTAGAAACATTAGAAATTTCTGCACGCAGTTTGGTATTGAAAATGGGTGAAAGTGATCAGAGCAGAAGGGGACAGTTTTTTTTAACAAAAATTTTTGGATTTTTACTCCTTACTCGGAAATTATTTAAAGACTAGAAGGTTGAATAATTAAATTAAATTTTTCTTATATTTTTGACATTTAATGGTTAGTTATTATAAAGCAAGCAAGACAAAACGTTTAAAACTATTTTGTACACTCCTCAAAAAAAGATATATTATCTGCTTAAAATGGGTTAATATTAAAATTAATGTATGTCGAATATAACCTTCTTACTTGTTACAAGTTCATAAAGCACGAAAATCATATGCTTTTATAAGTAAAAAATTATATGTTCGTGGTGTTAATTATTTACAGCTTTTAAATGCAATGTCCACCCTTTCTAGTACAAGTCACAGTGAATTTGTGCGGACGTTTGTAACAGATATAAAAATAAATCTGATGGAAGATTTATCTATCTTATCAGATTTATCTATCTTTTCCTGAATCCATGATTTATATTGAGCTCAAACTTGAAATATTGGCGCCCAAAGACGAAGCCTATTGAATGGACAATTTTCACGACCATTCCCCGTACGTCTTACGAGAAAAAGTCGTTATATGAAACAATTATACTTTTTTTGAAATTTGTCGCCAAAAACCGTCCAATAATAATATTCACGCAGTAAATTTTTGTGAAATGCTTGAAGCAAATGGGTTGATTTTTTGAACCTGGCATCACCGTTCATCGTGTTTTGTGATGAAAATCGGTTCATAATAGCAATTAGATATGAGAATTACTCGTACCAAACTTGTATTTATTTTTGCTTGTCCACCTCATGTGCGGCTTCTCATGCAAAATACAACCTCATAGGATAACTAACTTTAACTTTTAATATATTATCAGGAAAATAATCAAATCTTCAATAGGCAAATTTGGCAAAGGCTTTGCCAAACTATGACCACACACACTTCACAAGGAAATAAGCTGCAATTTTTGGTTTTTTCTCACGAAAGCATTGTATTATACAAAATGGCGTAGAGTATTCAACGTTCAGCGCTGCTAGGCTATAATACTTTGGTTTTTTTTATTATGTTTGCTTCTTGTGTAAGCTGTGGTATGTATATGTACGGTATAGTCTAAATATATGACATTTAAGGAGCAACATTACTTAACGATCTAAATAGGGTTATGTTTTTAGGGTAATTTTTTTATTTATTTAGCTGTACATAAATGTTTGTACCTAATATCATTTTTTTTTTTTTAATGTTTAATTAAGCGTCCAGTCCTAAGCGTTATTTAATCATACACGAAAATCCATTGTTATAAATGGTATATATTCGCATAAATATTTTGGAAACATCTAAGAAAATTCATAGTATCGGGACTCTTCGCGCGAGGTATCTCTAATTTCTCGGGATCTGCGGCAAGGATATCTTGTGCATTTTTGTTAGAGAAGTACGCAGGAAATTGCAACAACATTGATTTTTCTCTGATTGGGCTGTATTTGTGTGAAAATATGCAATTTTTTTCCAAAAAAGAAGAACGTAACCGAAGATTAGCAAGTTAAAAAAAAAGTCGTATTTCGAGAAAAATGTGTTTAAAGTTCTGAAATGTATTTTTGTTTTTTTTCGCATTAGCCTATAAGACTGTAAAAGTATCCTTGCACGCTCAAATTCATTTTCTTTCCTAAAAGACAATGTATCCAAAACAAAGTTGCACCTTTTACTTATTGCATATCGTGAAATAAAGGAGAGGGCGTATAATTCTATAGCTCAATTTTTAATTTTCTGGCACTTTGCAGATAGAATATATTTACATATTTCGGCCCACTAGTGTATGCTTTTATAATAGTTGAAGTTGCACTTTTATTGCCATTTAGTTAATTTCTAAACTTTATAACAGGAACAGATAGTTTTGTAGGCATGGTTTTCAAATCCTAATTGTAATTGTAGCAAATTGACGAATGACCCACAAATAGGGAAATGAACGGACAGACACATAGACGTTTCTAGATTGATTTGGATTAGGTAGTCTGATCCCCATTGCTACGCTTTGCACATTTGTCAATTTTGATCTATATTCTGGAATGGATATAAAAGAATAAAAAGATAAAACGAACAGTGTGAGAAACACTGCACATATGCATTTGCGATTTCGACTGTTATGCTGAGCGTTTTTAGTTAAGCATTGACGTCATTTTGCGTGTTTTCACCCTTTTCTTTTATATTTGTTCTAATCGTTCATTTTTGTTTTCATTTTTGTTTTCAAGTGCAAGAGAATCAAAATCTTTTTCTTTGCATTCATATACATACGAGTAGGTGTAGGTGTTCACTTGTTTATATTCAAATTATCATACATACATTTTATGCTTTTTAAGATCATTTTGCTTATTTTCCTTTTTTTTTTCTGATGAAAATTTTGTTAATATTTTATTTTATTATTTGGGAGAAATGGAATATAGAATACTGTACTAGCGTCAGTTGAAAAAATTGTTCCGATCGTTAAAGACAAATTTTGGAAGAAAGTTAAAGTAGTTTATTTTCCTAATTGAAAAACTTTGACGGCGCAGTCAAATTAACTAAGAGTTCAAGTGAAACAAATTAATAGAATTATATTTTTTTAAATGGCTGTAAGTGTTTGAAGGGGGAACAGAAAATTATCCTTAAGCACATTATTTGAATGCAAAAAATTTCTGCATTTTTTTTGACTAAAATTTTTCTGAAAGTTTGTTAAGCGCTTGAGCCAATATGAGTAATATAATGAATAAATAATCATAAGTGTATACGTATGAATATAATGTAACCAATTTATTTAATTAATTATCAATCATACGCTTTTGCATATGCAACATTATTAAAATAAACGATGAAGGCAATTATGTGCGCTGATGATGCGATGATATTGACGTTGGCCATCACAGACCACCTCCTACGCTGACGGAGTGGCAATTAAATGTTATTAATATTTTTAATGCAGATAATAATAACAAACGTAATAATAATGTTACATTGATTTAGCGAAAGCAACACAATATTTATATTAACTTTATAAAGGTATTAAGTTTCCGTCAGAATAGTTTTATTTCTCAACTGCGGCGGTGGCGAATATATGTTTTAATGACTCAGCGCGCAATATATATTGAATTTGTCAAGCATTCCCAACGCGCAAGAATTGCATTGACAATGCCATAAACTATGTGCCTTTGATACAAATGATTAGTAGGGAAGGTCACGTTTTGTTGTTTTATTCAAAACGCAATTATGACGTCAAATGTGCATCGAGAAGAACGTGACGGTAGATTGTAAGTTATTTGCTTTTTAGAAGAAGTTCAAAATTCAGCAAAATGGATTCATATGTTATTCCAAAAATTAAGGTAAACTTAACGTTTGCTCTTCATAATAACATAAATAATATTTTATGCGCTGCGATCAGTTTCGGTTATTCTATGCTAAGTGGACGAGAAATATTGTTGCGATCCATAAAGATCTTATTTTAATTTCCTACGGCCACTTAAGAGGATGCTTAATCTTTAATATATACAAGCACACAAGTTTCCAGCCAGGGCTAAATAGGTTCCCGTAGTCTAGCTTCCTTTTGGTTAGAGTACAGTTGAGTTGTCCAAACTTTCTTTTGAAGATAAGAGATGAATTAAAAACTCCTTGTTTTTTTAAACATGCGTAGCCGAGTAGGTGAAAGTCTTGATTAATAAGTTAGCGCTATAGAGCATACCACGTGTCGATTGGGCACAGATAAGCTAGGTTGCAGCCAGTTCTTATGTGTTTTTTTTCCTCATCTCTTTTTGGCCGACACCGCGTTACACAAATAGTGGATACCTTCCCTTGAGTGAATTGTCATATTAATACAGCAAACGTAGTCAAGTGCAGTTGAGTGCGATTAACGAACAATCAGCTCGATAGATGTATCTATAACTGCTCTCATAAATTTATCGTCTGCCTTTTCAGATAAGTTCCGTAATACTACAAAAAACTTTAGTCGAGCGTGTTAATCTAAGTTACTATTTGAACATTTAGACTACACTAACAGTTTCCAAATAGAACAGCACACTGCCGTGTGAGTTGTGCTGACGACTTTAATCAGTTGTAAGTATGCCTTCATAGCGTTGGAGATATGATATTTACTTTCATTAGATATGGAATTTACAAGTCAGACCGATATAAAGGCTTACAAGTCCCAACGAAGGATGAAACATTTTTTTTTATTTCATAAGATATTTTTAGTTTTTTTTCTTCATTTTTTCTCTTTAGTGCGACAAAGCGAGCATGTAATTTAAAATAACCGCGAAATATAATATTGCGGTTGAGCGAAACGAAATTAAATTACAGTTTAAATAGAATTTAATAATATACTTATCTCAATATTGAATGGGTAGGTAATTGTTGTTAACGAACGAAAGAGTAAGGGAAGAACGGCAAATTAACCAATGAAATTAAAAAAAATATATGTATATTTTTTTAAAAATATAATTTATAAAGGCGAATGGTATAAATTATAAAAAACAATTATTCCTCTACACATGTATTTATATGTTCATGTATGCATGAGAATGTATTCTCTTGTATTAGTCGATGTATGCATACGCATGTATATCATTCGTGTATTTATTTTAATTTACATTTATTTACTTAAAAATTAAATTATAATCAGGCTAATGAAAAATAAATAGAAAATTATTAATATTATGGCAGCACATAGTAAAACAAAGTTGGCAGAAAATTGGAAACAAAAAAGATTTATATATTAACGGTACATAACATAAAAGGCATTTAAGGCATGTTTATAAAGCGAATCAATATCGGTAATTTAAATGAGTTTTCATTATTAATAATATAGCGAATATTAGAAGCATGGGAATGTTTCACAATTACATATAGACGATTTAGCAAATTTAGTTAAATGACAGCCAAAGGAAAAAAAGCGAAAGAAACTTTCATTCTGAAGACGCATTGACTATCGAATGTTTCATTGACTCACATAAACTCGAAAATATGCCTTCCGGATTTCTATTCGATCAAAAGTCCCAATGAAAGTTGATATTTATAGTTTGGCGTCTAGAACGGGAAAGTAAGGCTACTTAAGCTTTTTCATTTTTACTTGAAATAATAATTGGTATTACCGACTTTACTAAATGAGATAAACTTCAATGTACCTAATTTTCCTTTTGAGAAACTTTATTTCCACAAAAATCAGCCAATCCACGTAGAACTATGAGCTATTCAAGCCGCTTAGGATGCTTTACAAAAGCCTAAATCACATATTAGCTTAAGCAGAATATCGGACTTTTTTAGTGCTATCGAATCAAGTCTTGTTAATGCAAGAGTCTTACCGATGTCGTATTTAAATCTACTTTTAAGCTATACTGCTTTGTGTTCGATGTGTAAATGTATCTTAAATTTATCTATTGCTCCAGCTACCACTGCAAAGGGTTTATGAGCAGGTGAGTTCTTAACGCGGAATTCGTGTCTATTCTTACTTTTTCGCGACAATAAAAAAACTTATATAAAAAAAAATAATAATACAAATCAGAAGGATTTATTTTAGTTCCTTTCGCTAGACCAATTCTATCAACGGACTACCAGAACACCAGTTTTTGACGTTAATTATCTTACATAAAATCTATCTAGCAATCTATTTAATTAACGGACAGATCTGATATGTTATTATTTTGTTTGTTTAAGGTACAGAGCGTGTGCATTTAGGTTCCTTTCCTTTAGTTTAAATGTAAAGTTTTCTTCTTATACGTTTCTTGCTGTATCTTTCGTTTCTTCTTCTTAGCGGTAATTGATAAAATGTCAATTATTTTCAATGCCAAATTTATGCTAGTTACTATCTTGGTTTTGTGATGTTTCAGTTTTGATACCGTGTACCTATTTTAATAGAGAGTGTTATAGTTCCGTGCGGATGTGCGTAACACGCAGAAAGGCTTAGGATAGATTCACCTTATGTTTCTATCGATCGATTCAGAATCATTTTCTGAGAATTTATCGATCTGTCTGTCCCTCTACTTGTTTGTCGGTCTAATTTCTGCGCATGTAACTATGTGTACAATTGCAATTTTGAAAATTTCTCGACAAACCCGCTCTGTGATAGTAAGTAAGTAATATAATGTTGGTTTTTGGCTCGTAATTCATAAAGTGTAGAGTGAAAAGTGTTCAAAAATTAAAACGCATTTTCTTAGGACAACGGTGTAGCACCTACAAAGAAAAGAAAAAATCGACTAGTGGCTGTGGGGAAATGTTCAATTTTTTTAGTTTACCTAGTGCAGCATAAAGCGAGATATAGGCGAAGTACGAACCTCAAACGATGATGATATGTAGGATCAATGCTTCACAAGGCTGAAACGCAAAATAATGTGGTGGAATTCGTTGAGCAGCCGCTGCGAGCAGACATGAAAACAAAGCTTATATAAGAATAATTCACCAAAAATAAAAATTTCATTAAAAGTGTTTTATATGACTTTACAAAGCGTGAAAAAACATTTAAAACGTAAAAAGTATTACGAAAGAAAGTTATATGACTGAACATGAACTGAAGCGTGCATTGCTTCGTTAAGAACAACGGTGATCTTTGACGCATGAACAAGTTTCCTTAAACAATGTCAGATGCGAATAAAGAAAACTAAAATTGTATATATGCTTACATTGCGAAAAGTCCCTATCAACCACGGGATAATATGTATTATGTCGCACCTGTGAGGTATTGCTACTCGCCATATATATCTTCCACATTAGATAAGCGAATAGGTGTAGGTTGTTTACCCCGAAACGATTGACAACAGAACAACAACTGTCAGAAGGAGAAATCTTTATTATCTGTTTTCTAAAAAAATATGTGTCGTCGACATGCATTATTTGTGAGAAGACGATTGGTGCGTATGAAATGCCTCGGAATGCTGGTAACAGCGTTTATTGCTGGCACAAACTATTGTAAGCCATTAGTGTTCCAAAACATCGTGGACAATCTTAGAAAGAGATTTGCCTATAAATTTTTACCAAAACCATCATTATAGTTAAGTGGAACGTCAATAAATACAACAAAGAAAAAAATTATACTTGGTTGTACACGGATCTTCCATACTCACCATATCTATCTTAAAACCATTAAGAACATTATAGTTGGGCAACTCCAGCAATTAAGTATCCAACACCACAATGTCTAACGCAGTTCTTATTTTGATTATAGAACACAAAAATTATATCTTGCTCCTATATAAAAGTATATTTTTCAGTTGCTACTTATGGGGAAGCGGGGCCAAAACGTAGCCTAATGTAGTACAGGTTTAATCCTTATATATGGCAGGATCCAAAAATAAGCCAACATGGTCCAAATTTTGTTGAGATTATTTTTGTATGAAATTACTATTATGGGTCAATTTTCATCACCACATATGAAAACTTTGACTTTTCTACTCTACAAAGGATCAATTTTCGTGCAAGTCCTTATAAGGGTGGGATCCCAAAAATAGGCCGAAATGGTCCAAATTTGCACAGTTAATTTTTTTATTTTAAGTTACTATTTTGATATAATTTTCAACCGTTTTGACGTACGAACTTCAGTGTTCATTGCATGGGAGGAGGTTCAGAAATTGCCTCAGCCGGTCCAAAGTTTCCA